TTAGAAAGCAGCTAAAGTTTTACTGCCAGTTCAGTGTACCACAGGAGTCCAAGCAATGGCACTATTATCACATTACAGGCAGAGCTATCCTGCCAGCTCAGAGAAGAAAAGACAGCCCATACACAAAAACAATCATTTGTTAAATTTCCATGAACAACAGATGTGCACAATACAAAAAGCTACATGGTAGTTTCCTCCTCAATCTACCACCCTACCCTCAAGCAGGTTGTCTTTGCAAGATAAACAACTACTCTGTATGCTGGTGATGGTCATTGTTTCAGGATGGGCCCTCACAGCAGAAACTGTTACAATCCATGTGCCTTCTGAACCTGTTCATAAGAGAGCTGCAGAGATTTAAGAAGCAATAAAGATCAACACCAACTGAAAAAATACCCTACCCCAGTGGAAGAATATGTCAGCAATAGGAAACTGCAACTGCAGGAGGAAGAAATCCCAGAGCCTTTAAAAATTGTAAGGGAACAGCAAGAAAATCTCTCCATGTGCATTACTGATTAATGAGTACGGAGTCCATAAGCAACTAAACAGTCAAAGTATTTTTTACCATCCCCTTATTTTTTAGTTTAGCTTGCTTCATTTCTATCCCCACAACTTTTTGTTACCAGAATTCAGAAAGGGCTTGTATCCTCCTTTCTTTCTACCTTTTCCAAGTTCCTATTGAAGTGAGCTTGTGTCATGCAAATTAATTTTTTCTCTTGGTTTGCCTTTTTTTTTTTCCCCAAAAAAGAAATCTTACAAAATGGAAGTATTAGATCTGAACTACTTGAAAGAGAACCCCAATCCTTCCAGTATAGAATTCTGTCATCAATATAAAAATAAACTGCTGCCTACAGTCTTGCCTAGAATAACATATCCTCCTTTCAAATCTGGCAACTTTTTAGCTTAAAATAAACTCTAAGCACAGTAACATCCAGACCTGCTTTTATTCCAGTATATAAGACCTCTTTTAGACATGCTCTTCAATGTTTGTAGAGCTTATAGATCATGCTCACTAGAATTCAAATATTGCCAAGGATGGCATACATCTCAACTTTGCACAAAACAAGACAGGAAAAGAATGTCTACTCATTTGATTGCAAACTGGGACTTTTCAGCTTGTGAATCATAAGATATGCAGGATAAGCCTACAGGGCTGCACAGAACAATAGCTTCTGTTTTAAAGAGGTCTTATAATTCAGAATAAATTTGCTGGAGGGTTATTAGGCAATTATCTTTGCTCTGCATGCATCTAAATTCCACTAACGCTAATCACACATAGAGCAGATAACATACTTCTTTCTATAGTCCACTCCTGCAATCCATCCCCATCATACAGTTTTCCATAACGCTTTTTTAGAGTAAAGATTCCCAAAGACAGAACTCAGCTTTACAAGTTTCTATCCCTCATGTCCTGTTTCTATTAACTGTGATACAGTTTTCTGCAGTTCTCAGCTTGTAAAAGCAAGAGATGTGAGAAGTCCAAACACAATTAAGCCCACGGATTTGCTTAAATAACTGTAGTGGTAACAGTGAAAAGACCAGAAACTTTCCATTCACACAGTGCTATTTGCAAGTGCTTTCAAAGCAAAGCTTCAGATAAGACCTTTGAAAGCACTTGCAAATAGCACTGTGTGAATGGAAAGTTTATGGTCTTTTCACTGAGGATTTCTCCATAAAGTTCTGAATTTCATCACCTGAAAGCACGCAAGTGTTTTAGGAACAAGGTAAGTAGCTGGTAATGAATATGGAAAAAGCAAACACATGACGTGAGAAATCGAGGAACATAGTCAAGGGTATTACTGGACTGGATGCACTGAGTGCACATAACGTTTTAAATGGCCTCACGTTTCTCTAGCTTTTCTTAAGTCAACATGGGAACAGCACACACTCCATACGTCAATAAAGCGCTCAATGTGCCAACACAGGAGATGGGGTACACCGAACTGTTTCTGGGAAGCCGGAGGACGTCGCGGTCGCTGAGGCGGGAGACCCAGGCTCTCTTTGTTCCGGGGAACCCCACGAGGCCTCCGGTGCGGCTGTGCGCTCCTTCGGGTGTTTCACGCGCGGGAGCGGCCGAACAGCACGCACGAGCTGCTATGCGACAAGTCACCCTTTCCCGATAGTGCAGAAACGCGGCAGGCATCGCCTCCCCCCGGGCACCGGTGGCTCAGAGGCATTCGGGTTTCGTGAAAGGAAGGAATCGTTTCCACACCCACCCCCCCGTGCTCGCAGCAAGCGGCTGAGTCACGCTTCCCAGAAACGAGCTGTGAAAGCTGCCAAGAGAGGAGGAAGACGAGGGCAGCCCCACGGTACCCTCCGCCCCC